GTTTCTTTTACTTGGCATAATTATTTGAGACTAATCCTTGCTATAATATGAATTAATTATTCATTCCTCTTCACTGCTAAGTACCATTGCATGGATATACATCTATGTGTTTATTCAGTCACCTATTGATGGACGTTTGATTATTTCCAGTTTTTGGCTATTGTAAATAAAGCTGCTATGGACATTCATGTACAAGTCGTGGTGTGGATATAAGTTTTCATTTCTCTTTTGCAAATATTGAGGAGCAGAAAAGCTGGGTCATAGCTGAATGCTGTCATCAAGAGACGCATCTTACATGCAATGATATTCATAGACTCAAAGTAAAGGGATGGAGAAAGATCTAGCAAGCAAATGGAAAACAAAGAGAACAGTGGTTGCTATTCTTATTTCAGAGAAAACAGACTTTAAAGCAAAAATGATCAAAAAGGAGAAAGAAAGGCATTACATAATGATAAAGGGTTCAATTCAAAAAGAAGACTTAATAAACGCGGTGGGATCCTGGCTCAGTGTCTGGTTCACTTAGGCTTTGGAGATAAAGAGGGGAGATCTGTGCATCATTTGAAAACAGGTTTGTGGTTCACCAGCATACCAGCTTTTTCCTTCTGTCCACACATATTCCCCTAGGGTCACAGGGTGCTCTGGGATTAGAAAATGGAGAAGTACAGTACGCTCCATGCTGGGACTAGACAGCTCTTTCTTCTACGTCCTGGGTTTGCTATTTCTTTAGGGTCATCATGCTACTCTCATCTTCCTGATCTGTGGATGTTCTGCAACTGCCATATTCTCAGCTGCAATTGAAATGTCCCTGTCTGACCCTCAGCCTTACAGATTCAATATGCAGCCTTTCCAAATGGTCATCCTAATAAACAGAAATGTATTCTAGCAACAGTGGGAGATATAAAAGGAAGCAGCTGCTGTATCCTCTGTGAAGAGACGGTCCTCTTTCCCATTACACATTTTCAGAGCACCCATTACTTTTTCCCATAACACTTGTCACAATTGTAACTATATAGATTGTTTGTGTCTCTGTGATTAGACTCTAAGATCCGAGGACAGATTCCATGACTGTCTTATTTATCACTGTACACCAGTAGTGGCTCAGAATCTAGCAGGTTGTCAGTGCCAAAGTATATTTGTTGAATAAATAAATGAACTCTGGATGTTAAGTTTATACTTTAACTTTACAATATATAGTAGTTCTCCCTTATTCATGGGGTTATGTTCCAAGGCCCCCAGTAGATGCTTGAAACAGTGGATAGTACTGAACTCTATATATACTGTGCTTTTTTTCTACCCATGGAGACCTATGATATAGTTTAACATATAAATTTGGCACAGTAAGATTTTAATAGCAATACCTAATAATAAAATAGAATTATAACAATATGCTATAATAACAATACTGTAAAAGTTATGTGAATATGAACTCTTGCCTCCCCCAAAATATCTCATTGTGCTGTACCTACTCTTCTTGTGCTGAAGTAAGATGATAAAATGCCTATGTGATGAGATGAGGTGAGGAGAGTGACACAGGCATTGGGCCACAGCATTAGGATACTACTAATCTTCTGACCATACGTCGGAAGGAGGATTGTCTGTTTTGGGTGATCCTGGGCCACTGAGCCATGATGATGTCAGTGGCTGGATCTCAGAAGCAGGTGATTTCCATGATGAATGCTCAGGTGGTATTTACAGTGTGAATACATTGGATGAAGGGATGATTCACATTCTGGGTATGTGGAGCTGTGTGGTGCAGATTTTGTGTACATACTCAGAACAGTATGCAATTTAGAACTTAGGAATTGAATTGTTTATTTCTAGAATTTTTTATTTAATATTTTGGACTGTGGTTGACTGTAACTAATTGGAACTGTGGATGGGTGGAAAACTACTGCAAATATATTCCTAACAACTGGTGTTTGCAGTGCTTTCTGGCATCAAGGACTGTACTAAGTATTTTTTAAATATTGCCTCACTTAATCTCACAAATGCTCTCTTAACTGAACATTTTCACCATACACATTTTCAAGATGTTGAAACAGAGATTTGAGTAATTCTGATATCATACATCTGGGACTAAGAAGTCTTACAGAGATTCTAGAACCCAAATTTATTAACCCTCTTCTATATCGTCTTCTGGGTTAGAGGTTCTGAAATAAAGCAAAAATTCTAGTTTGAATCTAATCTGGGCCAGCCAGGTGGAATTTGTAGATGGCAGGAACTGGGGTGCTAGAGCTTATGCTAAGGAAGTGACACTGAAAAAGCCTTTTTTCTAACAGACACCTTGGGATGCAAAGTGCCAAGGCATCAGCAATGCGTGGTGCCACTTCTACAGCAGCAGTGAGAGGTAACACCAGCGCTTCCGCTACCAACAGGGCATTACCACTTGCAGGGAGAAAAAAAAGACAAGAAAAATGGTGGGTGCCACATATTGGGACTCATCTGAGACATGATGCGAGACTTTTTAGAAAGAATTTGAGGTGGGGTGGGACTGGGCTTTCCGCAGTAGTACAAGAGAAATGCTATTTTGTGGCCCTTATTGTGACTTACTTATAACTTAAGGAGGACAAAGCCTGAACACAGTTTACAGGACGTTGGAAGTCGCCTGCTGCGTATGCCCATGAGTGAGTACCAACCTGAATGCAAAGTCTCACTTTGAGGGAATCGCCAGCCACTGATCTTGCAGGTTATCTTTAGGCTGAAGCCTCCCTTAGTCAGGAAAAAGAAAACTGAAGGATCCTGGCATGTAGAAGGACCTAGTGGACAGAAAACGAAAAGTCGTTCAATTATAAAGGACACAATTTGTGCTTCGTCTATACAATTATTAAATTCTTTGGCAGGTTGCTTATTTATATACATTTCTTATAACAGAAATGGAGCTCTTACAAGGTAAGGCTCCCGTGTGATTCACCTTTGTAAATTTTTGTGCAGGGTTCTGTTTGCCCCTCTACCTCCACCCTCCTGCCGTCCTCATCCTACTCTCTAAAAGGACCATTTAGCTTTTCAGTTGCCTTTTAAATCAGCAAATACTTCTCACCAAAATCATCTTGATATGAGAGCTTCCTTATGAATTATTCTTGTCTCCTTGCATTAGCTATCTATTGCTGGGTAACACATTAGCCCCCAAATTTAGCAACTTAAAGTAATAAACATGTATGAATTCAGTTTCTTTGTGTGAAGAATCTTGGCATGGCTTAAGTGAGTGCCTCCAGGCTCAAAGTCGCCCACAGGACTGCCATCGAGGTGTGGGCTGGGTCTTCAGTTTTGCCTGCAAACTTAACCAGGGGAGGAGTCGCTTTCCCACATTAGTTCCTCTTTTCTTACACAGGTTTTCCCAGCATGGGAGGAGGGCAGTAATAGAGTTATTATATGATTCAGACCAGAATAAAAGTGGTAAGCAAGGAGTGTTCCCACCTGGTGACCCAGTTTCTGCTTGAGTACCAGCGACAACCAATGTACCAAAGAATGGGCCTCGCCCAAAGAGGATACAGTTTTGTTGAAAATAAGAATGAGACACAACTCAGCAGTTGTATCTAGGTTAGTGACAGAAGATCAGATGAGAATGAAGGTGTTTTGGTAATGGTAACATAATTAAGGCTCTCCCAGATACCTCATCACTGCTTACCTCTTTTGGAACTTAAAAATAACTTGGGGAAGATATGATCAACTATGAATTGACTAAGTTTAAGTGTCTGTGACCAGGCAAAATAAGGTTCTAGTAGGGATTCAGTTAATTTATAGAAAAGGAAAATTATCCTTTTTTTTTTTTTTTTTTGAAATGGAGTCTTGCTGTCTTGCCAGGCTGGAGTGCAATGGCGTGATCTAGGCTCACTGCAACCTCCACCTTCTGGGTTCAAGTGATTCTCTTGCCTCAGCCTCCCGAGTAGCTAGGACTACAGGTGTCCGCCACCATGTCCAACTAATTTTTTATTTTTAGTAGAGATGGGGTTTCACCATGTAGACCAGGATGGTCTTGATCTCTTGAACTCATGATCTGCCCACCTGGGCCTCCCAAAGTGCTGGAATTACAGGCATGAGCCACCGTGCCCAACCAAAAATTATACTTTTGTAAATATACCTAGTAAACGGACATATCCCTTACATGACTAAAACCCTCTTATGCCAAAACATTTCTTTATTGACTCTCCCCACATTCCCAACCTGCTTTCTCTTCTGGCCTCTCTAGCTTTGTGAGTTATATTGGCATCCATCTTTTTATTAGCTTTGAAATCTCAATTATCGTTCATGCCTTTTCAGCATATCATATGGCCAATAAATCCTGCCACTATTAATTCTGAAATTCACCTTGTGTCTCTTCTTTCTTTTTAGTTCTCACTACTAGTGTTCAAGTCCTAGATTACTAGAATAGAATAACGTTGCATTCATAGATTGTGTTTACATAAAATTATATATCTCATAACCTGAAAAATATATCTTATTTTCAAAACCACATAAAATTTGAACAAATATGAACTCTATCTTAGACAACAAAGAATAATTCAATAAAACCCCAAAAGAAATAGGATGGATCAAATTCTTGAGTTCTATGAAATTATAGCTAACATTTATGTAATGTCTATAATAGGATCAAGTGCTGTTTAAGAACTTCAGGTATACTAATCCATACAATCCTAACGATACCACAATGTGGGTACTTATTGCTATCCCATTTTATAAATAAGGAAACTGAGATAGACAGAAAATAAATAACTTGCCCAAATTCGAACAGTTAATCAGTGGTGGGGCTGGGAAACAGGACTATGGATGAAAAAACAATGTGGTTGTGGATGTAAACTAAGAAAGTGAATGTTCAAATGCACAAATGAAAATAGAGTGTAAGCATTTATAAAATGTATATTTATTTTCACCTGACCATCTAAACATGCAATTTATAATACATTATTTTTTATCCGTCATGTTCATTATTTATAGATAAGAGAGTTTAAGACATTTTTAGTTGTTTTTCCTCCTGGAGTCTGAAGAAGTTGCAGTTAGAATTTTCACCACTTCGTTTGTCCCACAAATTTTGTTTTCTTCACTCTGCAGCAGATGTTGTTGTCAGGGCAGTATCTCATTGCATATTCATCAGCGTCGCACTTCAGTTTGCAATGATAATATTTTCCATGACATCGAATATTAAAAGAGGAGCTTCTGGCTTTAAAAAGAGATGACAAACGATATGACACAATATCACTTGTTATAGATTTTTTTCTTGTTTTTCTTTTTCCATTCCTAATTCAATACTTGTTATTTTTAAATGTCTGAAATGTTTTATAATAAATTAAATACATTAAAGAACTTTCCCAGAAAAACAAAAACAACAACAAAAGAAGGCAAGAGAAAAAGTAGACATGCTGAATAAAGACAAATGATGATTTCTCCTATTAAGAGAGTAGATAAACGAGGCAGTAGCTGGAAGTGGGCAGAATTTTAAATGATAACTATTATCACATGTTTCTGCCTAGAAGGAATTATCCAGCTTGGGGGTGGGTAGAGATTCATAATGCAGGAAATAATGTTTAATTTCTGGAGTTAAATTCTTAAAAACATCATTGGGGTTGGAATCTAGTGTAAATGGAGGGGCTGGCCTGGAATCAGAGTGGAGAGAGGTAGATTATGGATAAAGATAAAACTAAGTGCAGAGATATGGCAGTGGAAAAATGAAAAAGGTATCTTTGGTTCCTTCTCTGTTCTTGGTGAAATGAAAAAAAAGAAAAATCCTTAATTGAGAGTGAGAAGGGGTCAGACGGAGTTGAGTCATAGTTCTGGCTTCCCAGTGCATTCAGGCTCAAGGCCAGGTCTCCTTCACGGAGGAAGTTCCTGAGATACGCGCAGGAGCCTAGAACCCACAATCCCCCACTTTGGTACCATTTCTTCCTTTCTCTTTTTGTTCCATGGGCAGTTCCTTCCAGAGTTTCACTCTTTGCTGCAAGAGAAACCACCAAACTAACTTTTATAGTAATAATTTTCTTACTTTAAAAATAGTTTTATGACCTAAGTTTTTATCCTTAGACACTATGGGTAAGATTTTCCGCGTTAACATTTTTGATATTCCCTTTAAACCTACCAGTCCTTCCCAAATCCTTTTTACAATTTATAAGTTAAAGCAATCGCCATGACCAACATCATGAAAGTTTCCCCTTATGTTTTCTTCCGTAAGTTTTACAGTCTCGGGTGATATTTTAAAATCTGTAGTTCATTTCGAGTTGCTTTTCATGTGTGGTGTAAGATGCAGGCCCAGTTTTATTCTTTTGCATCTGAATATTCAGTTTTCCCAGTACTGTGTATTGAAGAAACCATCTTTTCTCCATTATATATTCTTCACATGTTTGTTGAAAGCCAGTTGACTGCAAATGCGTGGGTTTATTTCTGGGCTCTCTATTCTATTCATTCCACTGGCCTATATTTCTCTCTTTATGCCTGTAGCATACGGTTTTGATTACTCTATTTTAATAATACATTTTGAAATTAGAAAACGTGATGCCCCTAGCTTTGTTTTCCTTGTTCATTGTTTTGGCTATTTGGGGTCCTTTGGGGTTTCAAATGACTTTTAAGATTGTTGGGGTCCTTTATGGTTTCATATAAATTTTAAGATTGTTTTTTCTATTTATGTCAAGAGTGCCATTAGGATTTTGATAAGGATTGTACATAATCTATAAATTTCTTTGAATAGTATGGACATTTTAATAATATGAAGCCTTCCAATTCATGAACATAGGATGCCTTTCTACTGATTTGTGTCATCTTTAATTTCTTTTGTGAACTTTTGCAGTTTTTAGTGTACCAGTCTTTCATCTTCTTAGTTAAGTTGATTCTTAAGTAGCTCATTTTTTGTTGCTATTATGAATGGGATTTTCCTTAATTGCTTTGCAGTTGCTTGTTGTTAGAGCTGTAGAAACGCAACTGATACTTGTATGTTGATTTTATATCCTGCAACTTAATAATTTTGGGGGGGTGAAGTTTAGGATTTTCTACAAAAAAGATTATGTAATTTGGAAATAGATAATTTTACTCATTTCCCCCCCTTTCCCAGTTTGGATGCCATTTATTCCATTTTCTTGCCCAACTGTCCTTGCTAGAACTTCTAGTACCATGTTAAATAAAAGTGGGAAGAAGGGGCGCTTTTGCCTTGTTCCTGATCTTAGAAGAAACATTTTCAGTTTTTCACCATTGAGTATGACTGAAGAAATTCTTTTTACTTTTATTGTAAGGTAGGACTATCAGTGACAAACTCTGTTTTTGTTTACCTAAGAAAATAATACAGTTTTACTTTAATTTAAAGGGTAGGCTGGGTGTGGTGGCTTGAACCTGTAATCCTGGCACTTAGGGAGGCCCAGGTGGGTGGATCACCTGAGGTCAGGAGTTTGAGACCAGCCTGGCCAACATGGTGAAAGCCTGTCTCTACTAAAAATATAAAAATTAGCCAGGTGTGGTGGTCGCTGGCTGAGGCACGAGATTGCTTGAACCCAGGAGGAGTAGGCTGCAGGGACCTGAAGTCACTGCCACTGAACTCCCATCTGGGTGACAAAGTGAGACTCTGTCTCAGAAAAAAAAAAAAAAAGACAATTTGCTAGAGAGTTTTAAGATAGTGTTTTGTTGGTGTTGGTGTTTTTTATTATTTTAAATATTTCACTTCCCTCTCTTTTTGCTTCTGTGGTTTAAGAGAAGACGGATGTAATTCTTATCTGTGGTTGTTCATAGATAAAGATTTTTTCCTCTTCTGGCTTCTTTTAAGATTTTATTTTTGTCTTTGATTTTCTAAAGTTTCAATGTAATATGCCTATGCTTAAATTTTTTGTATTTATCTTGTTTGGGTATTCTTTCAGCTTCTTGGATATGTGGATTTTGTTTATCTTCAATTCTGGGGAAATCTCAGTCATAATTTCTTTAAACATTTCTTCTGTTCCTTTTTTTCTCCTCCCCCTAATACTTCATTACACATATATTGTTTCTATTGTAATTGGCCTAAATTTATTAAGTATTCTGCTCATTTTCATTCTTTTTTTCTTTGCTTTTAAGTTTTGGAAGTTGCTATTTAAACTTCTTTAAGCTCATTGATTCTTTCCTTGATCATATCAGCCTATTGATGAATTCATGGTTATGGGCTAACCAGTGTTCCCCCAAAATTTATATCTTGAAGTCCCAATCCTTAGTATCTCAGAATGTAACCATATTTGAAGATAAGATTTTTTAAAGTAATGATAAAGTTAAAATGAAACTCCTAGGGTAGGGCCCTCCTACAATATGATTGATATCCTTATTAGAAGAGGAAGAGACACCAGGAACACATGTGCACAGAGAAAATGCCATCAGAGGGCATGGCAAGAAGGCAACCAGCTGCAAGTCAAGACAGGCCTCAGGAGAAACCAAATGTGCTGACATCTTGATCATAGACTTACAACTTCCAGAACTGTGAGAAAATAAATTCTTGTTATTTAAGGTACCCATTCTGTGGTACTTTGTTATGATAACCCTATAGCAATGCAAGAATGACCCAATACATCTATATTGGACAAAATTGACTTTTAGTGAAAAAAACATAAAAAGAGACAAAGAATGCCATCATATAATGATAAAGGGCCAATTCAGCAAGAGGGTATAACAATTTGAAATATGTATATATATGCATATATATATATATATATATACACACACACACCCAATAGTGGAATCCTTAGATATATTAAAAATGTCATTAGTGCTAAAGAGAGAGGTAGACCTCAACACAGTAATAACTGAGGGTTTCGACACCCCACTTCCTGTATTGAACAGATCATCTAGGTAGAAAGTTAACAAATAAACATCAGACTTAATCAATCTGTACCATAGACCAAATTGACCTAACAAACATTTACAGAACATTTCATCAATAGCTGTGGAATACACATTCTTCTCAGCATCACATAGAATATTCTCCAGGATAGACCATATGTTTGGGCACAAAATAAGTTTCAACAAATTTTGAAAAATCAACATTATATCAAGTATATTCTAGACAAAAATGGAAAAGAATTATAAATAGATAAAAAGGAGAACTTTGGAAACTGTACAAATACATGGAAATTAAACAATATGTTCTGAACAACCATGAGTCAACTGAAAAACTAAGAAGAAAATAACAAAATTTCTTGAAACAAATGCAAATGAAAACACAACATGCCAAAACCTTTGGAATACAACAAAAACAGTGCTAAGAGAAACTTTTAGATTATAAACAACCTACTATGTACCTCTAAGAACTAGAAAAACAAGAAAAAGTGAAATCCAAATTTAGTAAAAGGAAAGAAATAATAAAAATCAGAGCAGAACGAAGTGAATTAGAGATTTAAAAATGCAAGCAATCTATGAAACAAAAAGTTGGTTTTTAAAAGAGATAAACTTTATAAAAACCACTTGCTAGACTAACCAAGAACAAAAGAGAGAATGCCAATTAAATAACATCAGAAATAAAAAAGGAAACACTACAACTGATATGAAAGAAACAAGATGGATCATTAGAGACTGCTATGAACAACTATATGCTGACACACTGGAAAAACTAGAAGAAATTGATAAATTCCTGCACACATATAGCCTACCTAGATTAAACCAGGAAAAAAAATAGAAAACCTGAACACCCCAATAATGAGTAACAAGACTGAATCAGCAATAAAAAGCATCTTAGCCAAGAAAAGCCCAGGAACAGGTGGTTTTACTGCTTAATTTTACTAAACTTTTAAAGAACACCATTTTTTTCAACTATTTCAAAAAATTGAAGAGACAGGAATTCTTCCTAACTTATTCAATGAGAACAAAGACGCCCAAACCAGACAAGGGAACACAAAAAACAGAAGTAACGACCAATATTCCTGATTAACATAGATGCAAAAATTCTCAACAAAATACTAGCAAGTGATAGCCAGTAGCATATTGAAAATATAATACACCAAGATCAATTGTGATTTATCTCAGGGGTACAAGAGTAGTTGAACATATGCAGATTAATAAATATGATCAACACATCATCAGCATAAAGGACAAAAAACATATGATCATCTCAAAAGCTGCAGAAAAAAGATTTGATAAAATTCAACATTGCTGGGCCGGGCGCGGTGGCTCACGCCTGTAATCCCAGCACTTTGGGAGGCCGAGGCGGGTGGATCACGAGGTCAAGAGATCGAGACCATCCTGGTCAACACGGTGAAACCCCGTCTCTACTGAAAATACAAAAAATCAGCTGGGCATGGTGGCACGTGCCTGTAATCCCAGCTACTCAGGAGGCTGAGACAGGAGAATTGCCTGAACCCAGGAGGCGGAGGTTGCGGTGAGCCGAGATCGCGCCATTGCACTCCAGCCTGGGTAACAAGAGCGAAACTCCGTCCCCCCACAAAAAAAAAAAAAAAAAAAATTCAACATCGCTTCATGTTAAAAACTCTCGCTAAAGTAGGCATAAAAAGAACATACCTAGGCTGGGCACAGTGGCTCACATCTGTAATCCTAGCACTTGGGAGGCCTAGGTGGGTGGATCACAAGGTCAGGAGTTTGAGACCAGCCTGGCCAACATGGTAAACCCTTGTTTCTATTAAAAATACAAAAATTAGGCTGAGTGCAGTGGCTCATGCCTGTAATCCCAGCACTTTGGGAGGCTGAGGGGGATGGATCACCTGAGGTCAGGAGTTCAAGACCAGCCTGACCAATATGGTGAAACCCCATCTGTAAAGAAAAATAAATTTTTAAAATAAATATAATTTAAAAAATACAAAAATTAGTGGGGCGCAGTGGTGCACGCCTGTAGTCCCAGCTACCCAGGAGGCAGAGGTTGCAGTGAGCCGACACTGTGCTGCTGCACTCCAGCCTGCGCAACAGAGTGAGACTCCATCTCAAGAAAAAAAAAACATATCTCAACATAATAAAGGCCATATGTAACAAACCCACGATAATATTATACTGAAAAGTTGAAAGCCTTACTACTAAGAACTGGAACAAGACAAAGATGCTCACTTTCACCATTCCTATTCAATGTAGTATTGGAAGTCCTAGCCACAGCAATCAGGCAAGAGAAAGAAATAATGACAGCCAAACTGGAATAGAGAAAGTCAGATTGTCCCTCTTTGTCAACTACATGAGTTTAAATATAGAAAGACTTAAAGACGCTACCAAAAACTCTTAGAGCTGTAAACAAACTCAGTAAAGTTGTAGGATACAAAATCAACATGAAAAATCAGTAGCATCTGTATATACTAATAACAAACTAGCTAAAAAGAAATCAAGAAAGCAGTCCCATTTACATTAGTTACAAAAAATTACCTAGAAATAAATTTAACAGAAGACTTGAAAGATCTCTACAACACTTGATGTTGGTGGTTTGCTGATTTAACCAATTTCAGAGCTATCTGACCTTGGGACCTCTTGCTATGTATTATAATAAATTTTCTTTACTATTTTAGCCTACCGAGTCTGCGTTGCTTTTAACTTCATCCTGAAAACTTATTCAATGGAACAACATTAAAAAAAATCCCCAGAGTGAAAGAAGATATTTGCAAAACTGTGTCTAATAATAGTTTAGTATCTACAGTATGTGAATAATTCAAAACTCAACAATAAAAAGACAAATAATCCAATTTAAAAAGAGCAAAGCATTTGAATAGACAATTCTCTAGAGAAAATACACAAATGGTCAACATATACTCAGCATCATTAGTCACTGGGAAAATGCAAATAAAAAACTACAATGGAATATCACTTCACATGAACTAAGATAACTACAATAGAAAAGAAAATAGCAAGTATTAGCAAGGATGTGGAGGACTGGAACCTTTGTGCATGGTGGGGATGTAAAATTAAGGAGGTAGCTGTGGAAAAGTTTGGCAATTTCTCAACAATTAAACATAGTTACTATACAACATGACAATCCTATTCTCAGGTATATACCCAACAGAATTAAACTTATATCTACACAAAAACTTGAACATTAATGTTTATAGCAGCATCATGAATCACAGCCCCAAAGTGGAACAATCCACATGATATCAACTGATAAACAGAAGAGCAAAATCTAAAAAAATCCATACAATGAAAAACTTTTTTACCAATAGCAATAATCAGTGTAATTTTCCAAAAATAATTTTAAAATCCACCAATACGTCATAATAAAAACATATTAAACTGTGGCTTATACCTGAGATTTAGATTATTAATTTGCATATTTATCTTTTCTGAAGCACATATTACCTCAGAGCACATTTTAATATTTATTTCAAGATTCCCTAATTTATATAATTATACATAATTAAGCTTTTCCTCCATGAATGTTGGTGGTTTTTATATTTTTACTGAGATATAATTTATCATAAAATTCATTCCTTTGTAGTATTCCATCCAGTGAGTATCAGCAGATTCTTAAAATGGGATATACTGATGACTGCTGAATGAAGGAATGAAGTACAAGTATATGCCACAACATGGATGTGTCTTGAAAACATTGGGCTAAATGAAAGAAGATGGACATGAAGGGTCACATAGTTATGATTCTATTTATAGTAAATGTTCAGAATAGGAATCTAGGTAGAGGCAAAAATCAGACTAGTGGTTGCTAGAGACTGGGAGGAGGAGAGATTTCTTTTTAGGGTTATAAAAATGTGTGGAATTAGATAGTGGTGATGGGTGCACCATTTTAAGAATACACTGATGGCCACTGAATGGAACACTTTAAAGGAATAAATTTTATGGTAAATTATATCTCAATAAACATATTAAAAACCCACTAACATTCATGGAGGAAAATTATAATTATTCATTATTACATAAATAAGGGAATCTTCAATAGTGAAGTGTTATATAAATGAGGAAATCTTGAATTGTGAAGTATTAAAATGTGCTTTAGAAATTATAAATAAGCCAACTAGTAATCTAAATCTCAGGTATAAACCGCGTTTTAATATGTTTTTTTATGGAGTACTGATGAATTTTTAAATTAATTTGGGAAAGTCATACTGATTATTTAATAAATATAGTTACATAATTGGCTAATTATGTGGTTAAAAATTAAGGTGGACTCTTAAGTCTTACCATACAAAAAGTAATTTCCACATACGTTAAATGATATCGTAAGAGTTTTATTCAATTTTATTTTTATTTATTTATTTTTCATCTTACTAGCACTTTCTAGTTGGCAAGAATTTTGTTCAACTTTAAAGGAACACAGAGAGTAGGTCTCTGCCCGGGTCAGTGGTGAAAGTATCCTGTGAATCAAGGATTACGGTGGGACACCCACCTCTTCACTTCCAGCCCTTCTTCTAGTCATCATTTGCTTTTCATTCTTGCAGTTCTTTAAATTTCCTGTATTCTGTGTGCATCCTCTCACCATCTTTTGATCAAACACAACTCTCAAGTAAGTTTATTTTTTATTTATTATCATTATTTTTTTGAGACAGGGATTTACTCTACTGCCCAGGCTGGGTGCAGTGGCACGACCTAAACTCAACGCAGCCTTGACTTCCCAGGTTCAAGCGATCCTCCTGCCTGAGCTTCCTGAGTAGCCAGAATCGCAAGCACGCACCACTACACCAGGCTATTTTTTTGGTATATTTTTGTAGAGATGGGGTTTCGCCCTGTTCCCCCTCCAGCGACTGGTCTAGAACTCCTGAGCTCAAGTGATCCACCCACCTCAAACTCCCAAAATGCTGGGATTACAGACATAAGCCACTGTGACCGGCCTCAAGTGAATTTATAATAGGTTAAATCGCTGCAATGAACCACCTTATTGATGTCTTTAATATCAACTCTTCAATCCTCTGAGCAGCCTTCATGGTACAATAAGATCTGCCCATGTCTAATTTATTTTCAGACTCTTGAAATACCTTCCATTTTCTTTACTTGTAATTTTAGAACTTTGGAATAAAAAGTTTCTATCTTACCTGGAGGAATTATGGACAACAAGGCAAGGACTCCAAAGATAAAAACAAGACCCTCATGGTTGAATAGGTAAAGCAGGTTAGAGAGAATCAGTGGCTGAGGTGAAGAGGACTTCTGTGTACATTTAGTCCTCTGAAGAGATGAGTTGCTGAATGATTGTTGAACCTTCCAGGAGCAAGAACATTTCTATGCTTCAGTGAGAATTTATATCAGGAGACAGCATGCAATCATCATGACTATCAGTCATTCAAAGTACATTTATCAAATCTCAACAGAGTGCGGGCAAAGGTAGCAGAAAGGACAGCCATGGCAAAGGCAGGAGAGAGACTCTGTTGAAATATCAGCATTGTCTCATGCATTCTGGAGGAATTGTAAAAGTGAAAGAAGCAGTTATACAGGAAAAGCATTCCTTTTATTTTTTCTGATAAGAAGAAAAAGCACATGATACAACAGCATGCCTATTTATTAATATTTTTGGCACTGTGTATTCGCATCCTTCACCAGTGGCATTAGATTTGAAATTGTAAACAGGCTAGTAAGATATAGAAAAGATTTCATTTGATTATCTTTCTGTCCAATCAACTGAATGAGATCAACTACTTTTTACACTGAAATCTAAGTGAATACAAATTCTTTACACATCAGTTATATGTAATATGAGAGGAATAAAAGAAACACGAGTGGTCCTTAGAGAACCTACGATACACGTGGGAAAGCAAATAACATGTACAAAGCAATGGCAATGCAACATGAGCATATTTCTGACAAAGAGGTGCAAATTACAACTTAGACACTAAGGAAATGAACATAAACCCCAGAATATGTTGGGTGGCCTAGGGAATGCTTAAAGAGGGTATGAGCAAACTTTATTTATTTATTTAGAGACAGAGTCTCACTCTGTTGCCCAGGCTGGAGTGCAGTGATGTGATCTCGGCTCACTGCAACATCTACCTCATGGGTTCAAGCAATTCTCCTGCCTCAGCCTCCCGAGTAGCTGGGACTACAGGTGCACACCTCCATGCCTGGCTAATTTTTGTATCTTTACTAGAGATGGGGTCTTGCCATGTTGGCCAGGCCAGTCTCAAACTCCTGGCCTCAAGTGATCTGTTGCTTCGGCCTCCCAAAGTGCTGGGATTACAGGCGTGAGTCACCACGTCCGGCCAGAATATCAGCCTCAGAAACTGCAAAGTACATGCACATTCCTGGTCTTACTTGATCTTCGTGGCTTTCTAGATGGTCTCACTACGGTGAAGGAACTTTTCTCAGTACCAAAAAGGAAGTTCTCTTTCTGCCACGGCTTCTTCAGGGTGCTACTTCCATAATACTTCAGAGTTTCAGTGAATGGAACATGTGGTTACTTTATTTAATCAGGCATTCCCTGCCTTTGGAGACTTTGAAAATGACATGTTAAGTTGAATCAGGAATGGGGAGGCCTTGGAAGAGGCAAACTTCACAAGTCTAAGTCTAAGGAGGGCCAATGAGGGGCATGAAAGCTCTGGGGATGTTTTTCCCTAAACCTCCATTCAGGTCCTTTCTCCTGAGCTGTAGGGGCAGTGGTACCTGGGCACAAGCCTCTGCCGGCACCCTAGAAACACAAAGGGGGATTTTAGGGTCGTCGTGCTGGTTATTGCTATTGCTGACTGTTCCATTTACTGAAACCAGAATGGCTGAGAATCACTGGCATCTCTGATCAAGAATCCAGAATTGACTGATTTTTTCTCACCAATCTGAGAAGTCTTTCCTTCTTGATCATGAGAAAAGCTTTGGAAATACAGTTCACATTACAAAGCAACAGACTTTATGAGAACAAATAATTGAAATCCTTTATGGAACACTAAGGGCAGAATTTTCTCTGCTTGATATATTCTATGAACTTTGTTTGCCAGCCTGATATAGGTTTGCACCAACCTAATAGATTTGGAGCCAGGAGACAGGTTTGGAATGCTTCCCAGGAAGCCCAAGAACATTGTGTAATCCACGGGCTGGTGATCAGGGATATCAAAGAAGGGTCACAGGAAGGCTCACTGCATTCTGGGAGTGGGCCAGTAGGTACAAGAGGGGCATTGAAAGATGGCTTAGATTGCAGACGGCTTCAGTAAAAAAAGATAGAGTGCTCTGACAAATGCCTTTCCTTAAAAGAACACCAAGAAGGAGAGCAGACAGCTGTCAAATATAAGCTGTCACAGTAGAGGAAGAAAGGAGGCAATTTACCATTAGATAGTTAAATCTGACCTAGAAATTATTGCGTTTTATTGCACATAGCGCTCCAGGAAGGTGCCAGATTTTCAATAAATAATTTATAACCAAATATTCATTGTTTACCTTCCTTCATTTGGATTCTAATACCTTGGGCTTTAACATAGAGATTGAAGACATTCAATCTTTGAACTTCGATTTATGCCTAGGCATTTTAAAAGGAAATTTTTCCTTTTTAGTATTTTGATATAGGAGGGTATTTATGACTTTAAAAATCCCTTACTGTCATTAATTATCAGAGAATCTCTAATGTGCTATACTGAATAATGCAGTGGCACATAACTTAAGATGACAAAGAAGATATGAATTTTCAGCTTTGGGTACAGTGTACCTGGTAAAAAATTGTATTAGTGTGTTATTCTGAGATTAGCTTAGAATCTGATCTCAGAGTAATACGCTGTTCATGCGTGATTCCGAGAAGATATAGAAAAAGCGATGACTATCACTGAAGAAACAGATCCACGAAGATGCAATTAGAGTTATTTTAATAGACTCCTGATGTCTCCTCTGCATAGGGAGATAACCCACCCTCCCCGCTCCCCGATGGACTGACTATAAGCTTTGTGGTTAAAAAAACACAAACTCTTGAATTTTGTTTGTGAGGTAATTTGCTCTCATTCTAGATTTTTTCCATGTTTGTGGCACTCATGCCATGTCGTACTCCTGGTATCCTTCCTGCCCTTTAATTTTCTTGGCCTGAAAATGGAGTTATCTGACAGTTTGGGAAGAACTAACCAGGCATGCTGACTTAGCAGCTCTTCAGCTCTACAGCTCCCCCTAGTGAGCCTACTCCTACAAAGCAGGTCTTCTTTTCTATTTCTCTAGGGGCAGAGGGCAGCAGAGGGGAGACCTGCTTCAAGTACTGGAATGACTGGAATGGTCATGTGCCTAATTCTCAGGTGCCATGTTAGCAAGGTGGCATCATTAGCAGATGTTAACCCATGTTATCTAAGTAGGTCTCTATTAGTAATGGAAATGATATTTGTTCAGAACCAGATGAGGAAGAAGGCTGACTTTCCACTTCAAATAATCAAACACTGCCTACTGCGACTGCATATTCTTATAGTTTTATATGTTTAACATTTTTATCTTTATATTTTTCTTAGAAACTTACATTTTTTTATAAACACCTGTAGGGTATGAAATTCCTCTATTATTTATTCTTAGAGTTCTTAAAAGGCTTGAATGTGCATCAAGAAGAAATGCTCCAGGAGTCAGTCAGTACATGTGGGATTAGGACAACATTTATTTCCAGTCAATGAAGAATAAGAAATTATGTTAAACAGAAGTCTGCAAAATTTATCCACCAATTCTGGAGTTCAAAGGGCTTAAAGTTTGCTCCCACCTAAGGAGATTTTCCTTTGGGAACTGGAGTTGGATAGGGCTCAAGTATCCACCACCTTCTACAACATTTTTTTTCTTCACTACATGTACCAATGGTATCATCTAGTGTGCTGCATCTGGCGTCTCTGCACACCCCTTTCAAAGCAATACACTGTTTTTGTCCTGGAATAACGCCAGTCTTTCCTACACAGGAAGAGATTTAGGAACGTCATTAATTCACTGTTGGAAATGTACATAAAACAATAAACCCCCAGAAGAATGCCTTTGGGATAGAAAAGAAAACATTATCTATAAAAAAGGATCAGACACATAGACAAAAATGGTGCCTTTTTATGGGAGGGGAGCTAAGATTGCAGATTATATACACCTTGAAGGAAATAGGCAAATTTCTAAAAACCTTTAAAGGGATTGTCCTCCCTTAGAGCAGTACATTTGGAAACGTGTGGAAACATTTGTTCTTGCCGCCGTGACTAGGGAAGGTGTCATTGGTATTTAGTGGGTAAAGCACAGAATTACTGAATTTTTCACCTAAGGAATTGTCTCGCACCAAACACCAACAAGGCCCCCCTAGGGAACAGTTTCAAAAAAAGTATGTCCTTCCACCTTCCCTTCTGTGTCTACATCATTCTTATCAAATGGTGCAGGGTTGCATCTTTAGCTCCTTTTAAAGAAAGCCTATCAATCCTTTAGATTTTATGTAAACTAATTTCCCCATTTCAGGACTATGTAAGAAATACCTTTCCTATGTTGCTCAGTGCCTCATAAATAAATAGACAGACAGACAGACAGACAGACAGACAGATAGACAGATAAGATACTTGGAGAGAATTACTCACAGAGCTAAAAGGTATTTTCCCTTAAGTGTATTCACATTTTCTCTTATTCATTTGGTTGTTGAGAAGCATATGGCTATGGGTGTGCTCTAACTCAGTGGTTTCCTCTATGCTTACTCTCCTTTCTCTTGCTTCTCAGCACAACCATAGTTTATTTTTCCTACTGTGGATCACAGCAGATGTCATATAAGAAAAACACTTTTGCTTATGTTCATTAACAGACATTGGTTCCTGAACCATCCTATTAACACACCTGGATCTTATTTTTGCTATCCTGTAACATTCTACCTCTTGCTTCTTTGCTTCTGCAGTTTGACTAATAGTTTGATGGCCTTTTCAGCTCTGAATCTTTTTGTTGTAGTTTGTTATTGTTTTGTATTTAAACTAGGCTATCCTTATTATTTCTCTATTTTGTATAAATAGATCCAAAGCCAGAAAAACCAATGCAGGCTTTGGAACTGAGTGCTCATAACCTGTGCAAGATTGTCTTCCACCCTTGTTAGAAGCTTCAACCTAGTAAAGTCTGGTATTATGCTCTACTATCAGATGAGCAGTCTGTAAACTCAGGGTTTCTATGCAGCAAGAGAATGTCCTGATGGGGGAGTTGGATAATATCTGGTAATACTACCTCTTTTTTTCCCCAAGACTATTGTGGAAGAGGAAGTGGCTGCCTTTCAGAGAGAGACTTGAAGTCTCACCAGCCAGTTATGGAAGGTGCTGGCTTAACTGCATTTTGCAGTTGGTTAAACAGAAACTCCCATTTCCTCCTCCCTCCCCAGTCCCTAGCAACCACCATTCTACCACCTGTTTCCATGGGTTTGACTATTTTAGGTACCTCATATAAGTGGAATCATGCAGTATTTGTCTTCTGTGACTGGCTTATTTAGTGTAATGTCATCCAGGTTCATCCATGTTGTCACATACGGCAGAAAATCTCCTTGGTTTCCCCAATATATAATCAGAAGATTTTGAGAAAAAAATCTGACAGAAATCAGAGTTATCATTTTTGTGTGCATATCCACACCTATGGATTGATAAAAACAGCAACATTGACCCAGATTAAAGAGATTTGATTTTAGCTGCAATGTTGCTACTATGTGATCGTAGTAAAATCACATTCTGTATCTGTACATGGGTTCTATTATCTAAAATGAAAACAATTACCATTAGATTTTATTTTAATTTGAAATCATTACCATCATATAATTTCATATCAGATGTCACCACAAGTGTGTCTGACTTCAGTTGTACCTTCTAACCAATTGCATCTTCTGAGAACCAAAGGAGAATTGCACAAGCTCCTTCAGAAGCAGGCAATCATATGTGAGGTAGGTCTCAACATGTCCACAGAGTAGGTTAAGATCAAACAATTGAGTAGCTTTGATTGCATTTAAAAGAGTATCGGAACTGGAACGGACAAGAGAGCCCTCTCTCACCATCCTAATCAATATAGTACTGGAAGTATGAGACAGAGCAATCAGCCTTTTGAAACAAAAGACATCTAAATAGGAAAATAAGTCAAATTGCCTCTTTTTATTGATGATATGATTTTACACTTAAGGCATCCTAAAGACTGTGCCAAAGGGATCCTAGACCTGAGAGTCAACTTTAGTAAAGTTTCAGGAGGATGCAAAATCAATGTACAAAAATCAGTAGCTTTTTTATAAACCAATAATGTTCAACCTGAGAGCCAAGTCAACAATGCAATCCCATTTATAATAGCCACACAAAAAATCAAATGCCCATGGAGACATTTAACCAAGGAAGTGAAAGATCTTTACAAGGGATACTACAAAACACTGTTGAAAGAAATCACAGATGACACAAGCAGAAAAACATGCCCTGTTCTGGATTGGCAGAATAAATATTATGACAATGGTCATACTGCCCAAAGCAATTTATTCAGTGCTATTCCTATCAAACTACCAATGACATTTTTCACAGAATAGAAAAAAGCTATTCTAAAATTCATATGAAGCCAAAGTATAGCTCAGGTAACCAAAATAATCCTAAGCAAAAAGAACAACACTGGAGGCATCATCCTACTTGACTTCAAATTATATTACAAGGCTACAGTAACTAAAACGGCATGGGACTGGTATAAAAGCAGACACATGGAACTTTGAAACAGAATAGAGAACCCAGAAATAAAGCTGCACATTATCTGCTCTTTGACAAAATTGACAAAAATAAGCAACCGAATAAAGGACTCCCTGTTCAATAAAGGGTGCTGGGATAGCTGGCTAGCCACATGCAGAAGAATAAAACTGGATGCCTATCTTTCACCAAAAAATTAATTCAAGATGGATTAAAGATTTAAATGTAAACCTCAAACCGTAAGGATTGTAGAAGAAAACCTAAGAAATACTATTCTAGATATTGGCCTTGGGGAATAATTTATGACTAAGTGTTCAAAAGCAATTGCAACAAAAACAAAAATTGACAAGTGGAGCCAAATTAAGCTAAAGAGGTTCTGCAGAGAAAAATAAACTATTAACAGAGTAAACAGCAAACTACAGAATGGGAGAAAATATTTGCTAACCATGCATCTGACAAAAATCTAATATCTAGAATCTATGGGAAATGTACATAAACAAGCAAAAAGCAAATAACTCCACTAAAAAGTGGGAAAAAGACATCAAAGACACAAACAGACACTTCTCAAAAGAGGACATAGAAGCAGTAAGTAAACAGGAAAAATAGAACATCATTAATCACTAGAGAAATGCAAATCAAAACCGCAATGAGAACCGTCCCACACCAGTGAGAATGGCTATTATTAAAAGTCAAAAAGTAGCAGATGCAGATGAGGCTTGGAGAAAAGAATGCACATACACTGTTGGTGGGAATGTAAATTAGTTCAACCACTGTGGAAAGCAGTCTGAAGATTTCTCAAAGAACTTAAAACAGAGCTACCATTCAACCCAGCAATCCCATTACTGGGTATATTGTCCAGAAGAAAATAAATCATTCTACCCCAAACATACATGCACTCCTATATTATCACAAAACTACTCACAATAGTAAAGACAAAGAATCAACCTAGGTGCCCATCAATGGTGGATTGGTTAAAGAAAATGTGGCACATATATGCTATGGAATACTATGCAGACATAAAAAAGAACAAACCCATATCCTTTGCAGCAACATAGATGCAGCTGGAGGTATAATCCCAAGCAAATTAATACAGAATAGAAAACCAAATACTGCATGTTCTCACTTATAAGTGGAAGCTAAACATTGGATACTTATGGACATACAGATGAGTCTACACTGGACACTACTAGAGTGGGGAGGGAGGGGAACAAAGATTGAAAAACTGACTATTTGGTACTATGGTCGCTACCTGGGTGATGGGATCATCATCATATTCACAGCACACATTATACCAACCTAACAAACCTGCACATGTACCTGAATCTACAATATAAGTTGAAATTATTTTCAAAAAGAATCTCAGAGGTAAAGCATGGAAGAGATCTTTGTTCATTGACCACTTTCATTTTGAGTGATATGAACATCCCACTATTTTTTTTTTTTTTTTTTTTTTTTTTTTTTTTTTTTTTTTTTTTTTTTTTTTTTTTTTTTTT